TTTTAATATACGGTTTTATTCTGATTAAAGCTTTAATACAGTTCGGCAACCACACGCGCTTCCATGTATAACGCTTCTCATAACTATAGTATCTGAATATAAGTGTATTCACTGAGCTGATTATATATATGAGAGAGAGAGAGAGAGCGAGATTGCTGGAGCAGATTTCGAGTGATTTAAATCGATTATACTTACCTATTTAAATGTCATCCGTAAGGGAACAAAAATCCTCCACGCGACCCAGTTGAGGATTCTGCCTTCTGGGCCGTCAAGCGCCCTTATAGAGGAAAACGGCCTTTGTCCCATAAGAAAAAGTTATTTGCTAGTAACCTGTGCTGCCCAACGGGAGTGTTGTAAACTCCTAAATGGTCAGAAGAGCCATTTTGAACAGCGCTGTTTGAAATGATCCTGGTCACACACACCAATGGCAACTTTATCCAAAAGTCAAGTTTAGACCCAGATGTGGTATTCACTCTATTGAGAAAATTGGGACGGGATTACCTAAAACCTGTTCAATGAAACGGTCTGCACTCAACCTAAGATATTAAATGGGTTTTTAAGGGTTTGTATAATATTTATTATTAAATGTTTTTGACATTAAAAAAAAGGTTAACTTAGTCCTCATAAAAAAAGTGCAAGTTCCTCATATATCAGACATAGTCGATGTCTGTCCAGCAGATGGCGCTGAATGTGAGTGTATTAAGAAATACTTACAGTCCAGTAGGTGTCCCTGCTGTTCATGGGGTGTTGAGAGTGACAAACAACGAATAAAAAAACTTCCTACAAAAAGGAATAGAGTGGGGAACTATGACGTCACTTTGTAGGCCGATCGTCTGTTAGCGTCGCACTGGTTCCCTCGACAAAAAGCCTATAGGATTTTTTGGATTATTGCAAAAAATAAGCTCTGTGTTCAACCATAGTTCATGAAACTTACACGTTTTGTCCATCAAGATAATCTTCACAAAATAATATAACTTTGATGAATTTTGAAGCCTAAATAAAAGCACCAGAACTTAAAAGCTAAACTTAGGCTATAATCGAACTACACCACCACGGTCGCTCGCTTTCAACGTCACCACCACCACGCTTCCCACAACTTTTCAAACTTGTTTCAGTGAAAAGGATTTACTCTGTATATGAATTTTAATCCACGCTACATGAACCTTTTCATATAAACTGGAATAAATACAAAACTAGAGCCAAACTAAAACTGAAATGAGACATTTATAATAAATAGTATAGTGAATAAATGAAATAATCATAACTAAAGGACATATGAAAGCATGTATTTCTGTACATTTCTAAATAAGGTGCAATAAAAGTAAATAAATCCTTGATTAATATGAATACTTTAATTAAAAATGTGTCTCCATGTTCTATTCAATAAAATTCTAGTGCATTTAATCTATTAAATAACAGCAGAGTGAGCGAGTTTTTGGATATGGTAAGATTAAACTTATTTTAGTAAATGAAGTACCACATTTCAGCTATCATTTTGTTAGGGTGGGTACACAATGTTATTTTATCCTTGCTTCTAGGAAATCCTCATATGCTTTCTAACAGCTTCATGTGGCCGCAAACATTTAAATTTAACATGGCTTTAAGCACTATGCATCTTAAAGTTTCACTTTCCCCATGACTAAGCCAGTAAATGTGGTGTTT